CTCCATCGATGTTCCTCTTCCTCTTAGGGCGATGTCAAAGAGTTTCTATTTAGCAACTTTTCCACGAAGCTCATCACATTGACATTTAATCCATGGGTGCAGTCTGAGGGGATAGAGAGAGAAAGTCAATGCTCCCTTCTAATTCAGCAGCAAAATATATTTTCAGAATTTTGAAAAATTGTGTTAGTTCAAGAGTTTTGAATAAATGTTATGCTCAAAAATTGAACTATTTTCTATGGGATTTTCTCCTGAAAAAATAAAAGATGTATTCGATAAAAAATAACACACACATAAACAGCTATAACTTATTAACTATTACCATAAAATCAATAAACTTTAAATTTTCAAAGAATATTTCCAAATAGTTGAGATTACTTGCGGAGTACTGATGAGAAATATTAAAAGGGTGAACACGAAATTAATGCCACAGTTGTAACTTTTTAACCACGATACTAAATTACTTGAAATTTTCCAATCAGGAAAACAGGAAGTTGTCTTTAAAATTTTGTCCAGTTGAAAAAAAAAACATTTACTTAATTCTTACTAAGTTGGTCTATTCTTTGTTCAACTTGTTTACAGATTATAAAACATTAAAGTGTGAGATAAATTAATTCCTTTTTTTGGTTTGAAATGATTGAGTTGTCACGTGGTTAGGGCGGGGGAGAGGATTATATTTTTTGCGTGAAATGAGCCGAAATTTCGAAGAGTTATGTTTGACCAACTGCACAATATTTAAAGCTGTAATATTCGCCTAGACTTCACGGGGTCTAACAGTAATAATTATCAACAAATTTCCTTGCTTACCGCTGATTTTAAATTTGAGTCAGCACCATTTTTTCGAGAGCGGTATTTTCACTCGGCTGTACTTAGGATAAAAAATCTCCTAGATTGTCATTACGTATCCGAAGAGATGTTTTCAGAGCCTTAAACGTCGCCGATACTCTGCAAGGAAGAATCGACTGCGAAGCAATTCTACAACAAGTGAACATTAATGTTCAACCTCGATCACTACGCAACAGTCTTATGCTGAGACTTCCAATTCTTCGAACTAATTATAGCTTAGGGAGCGCTATTTACGGCTTGCAGCGATTGTTCAAGCGAGTAGTGTCGATATTCGATTTCCACTTGACACGGAATACACTTCGCCGAAGATTCTCTGCCTTTTTCGCTGACCGAAGGTGCTTGATGCCCTACAGCTAAGTGTAACATTTAAGACTTATAAATTTTTAGTAACTTGACAATGCTTTCCTAGTTATTTTCGTTTCTAACTGAAGTAACTGTAGTATATGTAGTCTGTATAATCTGTACTTTTTTACAACACATCATTGGGACTATTTCTAGTCTGTTGATGTAAACATAACAAATAAACAAATAAACAAATACAAATTACACGCGTGCAATATAGACTAAATAATCATCACAAACGTGATTAAAATGTTACAGCTGTTTATGCGCAAGGAATTAATATCGTTTCACCCTTTAATAGTAGTAAATAGAACTTCTAAAGAGAATTCCAAAGGAATTGTAAAGAGCCCAGAACCGTAGGTAGATCACCTTTTCGCTATAATCTAAGATCTATCACATCTCTGGTCCTAGGGTCTTCTTGTTGACAGTTATGAACCTCGGTTTTGAGATTGGAAACAAAAAAGGATCGGACCAGAATTCTGATAAATTGTCAAGTATCACCGCTTGTTTTTCTCACTAACGAGACCTATTTTTATTGCTGAGAAGGCGCAATATTTTAAGAGATTCCAGAATTTTCCAAAGATATGGAACATCATAATTGAATGAGACCTATTTTGATTAATGAAAAGGCACGTCTTTGGAGAGGTCAAAGAACACTTAAAATGATACCGAACATCTCAATTGAAATAGGATTCTCATTAAAACTATTTTGATTGATGAGAGGGCACGTCATTGGAAAGGATTCTTCTGAGAAAATCAAGTATGCATGATTTAACTTTTTCATAGCAATGACGTACTACAACATGCACTAAACAAAATACACGGACATATCACAAAAGATCAATGTAAAGGGCGCAGTGATTATGACCCGAACAGAGGGAGAAAGAAAGCAGTAAATCTCAGAAGAAATTAATGATATTTTTTTATATAATTCCAAGAAAATTCGAAAACTATTTTGATAATTCCAAAGAAATGATGCCTACGGCTAAAAATCTGAAAAATGAAGTCTAAAAAAAATCCAAAGAAATTGTTGAAAATATTCCAAAGGAATCCTGGAAATAGCTCAAAAGGCATCCTGACAAGAAATCCAAGTAAATTCTTTTAACAATTCAGAGTCTGAAACTTAAGATAGTTCCAACGGAATTATAAGGCGAACTCTGATTCTGAGAATAGTTACAAAGGAATTAAGAAGAAGATTCCAAGGGAATTTTAAGGATACAGTATCCTCTCAATAATCCACAGCTATTTACCAGGCAGCTTTTAAGGCCCACTCTCGATAACCCGACGATTGCAGATTATAAAATACGCAAACTACATTTAGTATGGGTCGAACTAGCAACGATGTTTTCCTTGTCAATTTAGTTGTTTATGTTTTCACGATTTTGAAGGATTAACGAGGGGGAACTGAAATATCAAAGAACTTCTCTGAGCCAGTGCTGACGTTCGCGCGATATTGACAAAATTGTTTATAACGTAGTCACTGATAAACTTGATCCTCAAAAAACCTTTGTCAAAATCTCATTCATTTTTTCGTCAATGACAATAATTCACCTGGCAACAAAGTGTTTAATTTCGTGCATTCTGTGTTACATTATTGTTATCCAAGCAGTTCAGGACGAAGATGCTTGTTCGCTTGAATGGATCCATGTATTTGTTTTACTCAAGTCATTTAATTTTGTTACACATTTAGCTAATGCACACATTTGTCACTGACAATTGACATGGTTTGCCTCGACGATGACTGCTTACTCAAATGAGTGACCAAAGCAGAATTTTGAATATCGCCGTGTATTGTCGAGATTTTGCAGCACTGCTCTGAGCGTTCCAAGGGAATATTAAGGAGGATTCCACTGTAAGGGGAATGCTTAGATAATTCATAATTGCTAGGAGAGTGTTCATGTATCTCTGGGAGCATTCCAAGAAATTTTATGAAAAATCCCAAGCGAATTTAGGAAGAATACAAGGGGTAGGTCACTCCGCACACCAATTTTGGGTCATCTTTTTTGTCAGTGTGCCGCAAGTATGCTGATTGTGCCGGTCATAGAGCAAGCTGCGAATGTTTGTAAAATATCCATCCCAGCAATCCGGTATTTCTGACACCTTGAATGTTTTGGTTTGAAATCGCAAGGATAAATCGGATTGAAGATGACGCGGGAAGTGGCGATTGTGCGAAATTTCGGTGTTTTGTGATCCATAGGGTAATAAAATTCCTGTGTTTTAGTGTTTTATAATGCCCTCAAAGGCAGACCAGAAACCTAGCCTTTCGGCTGGAAAGAGTTGGAACCGGTAGGGAGCATTGTTGGAGACCGACTATAGAGGGTAATGAATAGACTTCTTTAGTTTGTTTTGTGTGAGTTGCAGCATTATTTGAATTAAGGGTATTAATGAGGTCTGATTAACTGTCTCTTCCTTTTCAGTCCACTCTAGAACCTACATTTCGTATTTAGATCTATAAGTGAACTGCTGGTCTGAGTTCCTCTGGTATATTCAATTAGAAGATGTACTAAGAAGAGCTTCAAAATAATTGGGTGCTCAATTCTAACGCAAGGATTACATTTTTATTCCAAGCGAATTGTGAATAATATTCGCAAAAAATAATGACGTAAGCAAGATTTATTTTCCATTGATCTTGTTTTCCGTACTGTGTACCAATACTAGCGACGCCAGGGAGGCCAGCTCCCATACCTAGACCCTACCTCAAGACCCATCGACTCATGGACCGCGGACCAACGGCTTTACTTTTATGCTTCAGAAAATCCCGACGGTGCTGACTGGGAATGATCCCAGATTGTTTTTCTTATAACTCAAGTGAATCTTCCCAAAATCTAAATATACACCACCGGCTCCGCTATTTAAGCAAGTTCTAGCGTATTATAACCAATTTCTAGAGTGTTATGGAGATACTTTTTTTTCAAGATCTCTGGGCTGTGGGATGATTCAAAGGAATTATTGAATTATTAAGAATTGTTTTTATTAAGGTAATTCAGGCTTATGGTAGAATTCGTGAGTTTTCTGAGAATTGCTAGGTAGAATATCTTCAAAATTACGTCTGTAAAAAACTATAAGATTTATATAGTGGAAGATGTTAAGCTTCAGATATCAGACTTAAAGTGGTCATTTTATACGATAGATGAGGAAATGAAAGTATAGAGTTGATAGTTCCGTGAGAGTACGGCAGTGTGAAAATTGTATATAGATGTGTGGAAACAGTTCTATCGGTTGTACCGCACTCAACTCAATTATCTGAAGGGAGGCATCTAGTCGTAGGTTTGGGAATTGCAGCTATTGTTGCCTCAACCACTACCAACAATAGCTGCAATTTACAAACCTACGACTAAAATGATAAAACAATAAAAAAAAATGTGCTGTGGTCAGACGTAATTCATGCCGATGTAATTGCAAAAACTGGTGCAATATTACATTGGTGGATTGAAGGTTGTTCACAAAAACCGTGTACATCGTGCGACGTAATATCACACAACTGATTTCGATGTCAACATATTTTTTTGCTGTGGCCAATAATATTTTGGATTAAAGTGGTCATTTTTTAATCAGGTTCAACCATAACAGTAGCCATATCATTATCCATCCTGGAAAATCGCAATTTGATTTCACAGGGAACTCGAGTTCATTTCGGCCTTATGGGACCACCACCAATCGATTCAGCATCGATGTAACATATTAGCTGAAACCGTTAACCTGCCACTATATTTAATTTAGTTGCGGTTTAGCTCTAAATCGAAAAAAAAAACAATCACATTTCCCGCTTTAACATATTCTTATTGATCCAAAATCTATCTCCTCCTACCCCACAGGTTCCCATACTACAAGGACAAATTCCCCGCCTGGCAAAACTCCATCCGGCACAACCTAAGCCTCAACGATTGCTTTATCAAAATACCTCGCGAACCGGGAAACCCGGGCAAGGGCAACTTCTGGACACTGGATCCGCTGGCCGAGGACATGTTCGACAACGGTAGCTTCCTGCGGCGACGAAAGCGCTACAAACGCACCACCATCCCGCCGGGGATGAGCTTCCCTGCCGTATTCAATCCCTTTGCTCCGTTTTGGATTCGGAAACCGGTTCCCGTGATACCGATGCAGTTTCCACCGCACACCAATCTGACGGGGTTCACCGATGGTCTGGGGATGCCGACGCGGAACGATTTTATCTTGGACAGCAAGCTCAATTTGTTCGGTGGTAAAATGGAAGATCTCAATGTGGCAGTTATGGAAAACAGTGAGTTCCTGGCGCGAAACACGGACAATTTGAAAATGTCCAGCGCGATGAACAAATTTTTCCACGGGTACAATAGCGACGCTGGTGGCCCGAGTGGTTCTTACGAGGATGGTGTGAATAGTTTACAGTGCAATAATAACAATAACAATAGTTCAATTAGTAGAGACAGTGTGGGTAATTATATTACCAAAAACAACAATAACGTTCCTATGGCTAGTGCTGACGAACGGTATTCGTCGGTTTTGAATAGAAATGGCCTATCCCCGTCGGCCGTCGGCACTAGAGACAATGCCAGTCCCTATGAAGTGGATCTTTCCAATGATGATAAAATTGACGTAGAGAGTGACGACGATTACAAGTCGATGGGTAAAGGCTACGCAATCCAACACGGTCAGCGGGAGAATTTTCTGGACCACAATGAGCGCTACTCTCCGACGGAAAAGGAATCTACCAAGGATTACGAGGCGGCCGACGTGATGACCAAACCATCTAACGATGCTGACGATTATGGCTGTGAAGACGACGATCATTCTGACAAGAATAGTAACATCTCTCAGGATCGATCGAGTAAGCTACAGAAGCAATTTTACATTAACAGCTACGAGGAGTCGGACCATTTCATGTCGGAAGCAATAGCCGGAAAATATACCAACCTCAAAAGAGCCATCGAGAGTGAGGATCTTAATGTAGTCGACACGTACAGTGAAACGAAACTGGTTGGATTCGATTTTTCCAGCCGGAAGCGAAAGTATGGCAACACGAAAGGATTCAGTATAGAGAACTTGATAGGCTGCAATGTGGAAGATAGATGAACCGGTGCCGTGTAGTTATTCGCCAGAGCAACCGAAAAGAAATACGTGTATCATTTTAGAACCTGATTGGCGAAAACTAATTGTGTAAATTTCCTTTAGTATGTAGATCACCATTTTAGATGACATAAAAGAGCTATATAGAGTACCAAGCTGTAAATAGAGATCTCGATATGTAATAACCCTTTGTGATGGAGTAATAAATATCTGAATTAAGAATTTTAAACATGCCACGAGGTTCGACACTGCGAATGAAAATTTACTGGTCGAAAATATCCATTAAACTCTATACTCAAAGATCAACCCAAAAAAGAACTTCGCAACTGCTTAATCGAGCTCAACAATCCGGATTAAGACTATTGTTATACTCCGGCTTTCATCTTTCGTCCAGCACAGCGCAAAATTCAACCCCCAAAAGACACCCCGTGGTGGTGGTGGTTCTGAAATTAATCCATCCGCATCCGGATTGTTGTGCTATTACTGGGAATATTCTTCATTGCTATTGCTGGGCGTGCATCCTCGGTTGGCATAGTAGTGAGAGTGGTTGCACATTCAACTACGAGACTGTGTAGGTAAATATACGAACAACGAACGCAAGACGAAACGGAAAATATTTTCATCTCAGTCAAGCGTTTAATTGAAGTGTAATTTAAATAACAATTAAATTTGGTAGAACTAAATCCCTGCACCACTCCGGTTCCCTCCCGCAACTGTGTAGACGGAGTTCTTCAGCAGAGCGGGAAGAAGAGGGTCTTTTCATTGTTGTGGAGATAAATGCAACCAAAACGTTAAACTCTGTTGGATATTTATTGGATGTCGAGCGAGCAGAGGATGTTTGCCGGTTGGTGAAAAACTACGGGACGGGAACTGAAATCTATTTCTTGTTTTGGACGGATCATAGCATGTTCTCATCTTCATAGAATATTATTCATGCACTTAACAAATATTCAAATAGAAACGGTTTTTATTTAATTTATTAAAGTTTGTTTATTGATCTCGTAAAAACATTATCGAGCTAAATTTGGAGGTCGAAATCGAGTCGTAAAAAATAATAATATTAATTAAAAGTTTTATGTTCAGGAATCACTGGAATGATTCAAACTGTTTATTTGGAAACATGATATAAATTAAAGTTTATTAAAACTCCACATTCACAATAAAATTACTTTTGATTAAATCTCTAAATTCTCGGTTTTTCCAGAGTGCCCAACATATTTTTTCCCGATTTCATTTAAATAACTTTTTTTTTTTTTTTTATAATGCGTTTATTTTTCCAGGCTCATTTGCTATAGCTTTGCGAAGCCAATATTCATTGATTAGATTACAAAATTACTTAAAACTAACGTTAGTAAAGCGGGGGCCGATTACTCGCGGCTATCTCGAGGTTAGGGGTGACAAATTGTAACAAATGGATGGCAGGGTAGGGATTGTGAACACAAGGTTTGGAGAGCAATGTGCTCTTGATCTCGAATTAAGCGACACTCTGATGAAAAAGACAAACATGGGGGTACACCGATGGGCAGCTAACAACTTGGGAGAACACAAGATGACACTAACTACTAAATCCTCAGATCTATCCGTTTTAAAAACACATAAATTAAATTCAAATATTCGATATCTCGGCTCGCCAAGACATCTCTAACGGGTATCGCGGGTTGTTTTCCTCGGGCCCTGAGGGATGTGGATAAATCAGATCTGGCAACACGGTGTAGGGTACACGACCAAACAACATGCTCGATATCGTGATAACCACTGCCACACGCACATAAATTGCTGCCTGAGAGCCCAATTCGATAGAAGTGCGAGTCTAACGAGCAGTGATTGGACATAAGCCTTGACATAACGCGTATAAAGTCGCGGCTCATGTCCAACCCTTTGAACCATGGTTTGTTCGACACCTGTGGGAGAATAGAATGTAACCATCTTCCCAATTCACCATCATTCCATTTGTGTTGCCAACTGATGAGGACTTGCTGACGAGCAATGGAGAAAAAATCGTTGAAGGCGATTTGTCGCTCAAAAATATCGCCTTCCATAGCGCCCACCTTAGCCAACGAGTCCGCTTTCTCATTACCCGGAATTGAGCAATGAGATGGGACCCAAGCTAAGGTGATAGTATAGGGCAGTTAGATAAAGCACTCAGTTTAGATCGTATTTCAGGCAGGAAATACGAGGAGTGCTTCATCGGCCTCATTGAACGAATAGCCTCCAATGAGCTAAGACTATCCGTAAAAATGAAATAATGGTCAGAAGGTAGTGAGGCAATTCGCTCTACTGCGTAAAATATAGCTGCGAGTTCCGCAACGTATACTGAGCATGGTTTCTGCAGTTTAAAAGAGGCGCTATGAAATTGATTAAATACACCAAATCCAGTAGAAGCATTTATGATTGACCCATCTGTGAAAAATCTTTTATCGTTACTTACATGGTGGTACTTGATTGCAAAAATTGAGGGAACAACCATCGACCGATGGTGATCTGGTATTCCATGGATTTCTTGGATCATGGTCAGATCAAAATTTACAGAGGAACTATAGAAGGCTTGAAAGCAATCACGATTGGAGATTGATGAAGAAGGGCCAACCTCCAGCGTCATGTACTCATAGTACAAACTCATGAATCTTGTTTGAGGATTTCGGTCGAGCAGCTTCTCAAAGTTTTCTATTATCAATGGGTTCATTACTTCACAACGGATAAGAAACCGGAAGGACAGTTCCGCGAAACGATCTGTCAGTGGGAGAACACCCGCGAGTACTTCGAGGCTCATCGTATGCGTCGAGTGCATACAGCCAAGCGCGATTCGGAGGCAGCGGTATTGAACCCGTTGTAGCTTCAGGATGTGTGTTTTTGCTGCGGATTGAAAGCAGAAGCTACCGTACTATAGGACCGACAAGATGGTTGTTCGATACAACCTGATCAGATCTTCCGGGTGTGCTCCCTACCAAGTTCCAGTAATTGTACGAAGAAAATTGATTCTTTGTTGGCATTTTTTTTTCACATACGCAATATGTTTTCCCCACGTGCTTTTGGAATCGAACCAGACACCTATATACTTGAAAGATATACTTTGAGTGATTGTTCTACCCTTTAGTTGAAGCTGTAACTGTGCAGGATGATGCTTCCTAGAAAAAACAACCAACTCAGTTTTCTCCGGAGAGAATTCGATACCCAGCTTCATAGCCCAAGTAGACAAATTGTCTAAGGTATCCTGCAATGGTCCTTGCAGGTCCGGTGCACTTGGTCCTATAACGGACACAACGCCGTCATCTGCAAGCTGCCTTAGCGAGCAATTTTCATCAAGACAAATTTAAATAACTAAATATAGAAAAAAAAGAATGATTGAATTCAGCAATTGATGTCACTGAAAAAAAAGTTACGGCATTTTATTTCAAACGCAAAAAAAAACCTGAAAAATCCTCTTCCCACCCCTCCATTGAAAATACATGGAATTTTGAAAATTTATTTGGTTTTAAGATTACAACAACAAGATTAAAACGCTTCATAATGGTTGAAGACTTTTTAAATATTCTTAAAAGTCTCAGAATTTTTAAATGTATCTAAGGTACATGGAAATTATTGGAAGAACACTAGGCTGAATTGATAGATTGAGCTTGATTTTTTTTTAGAAAACAATGAGATCTACGAACATTTGAATACTCGATCTGAAATATTGTTCGAAGATTGCCTGACAAAATTATTAAGATTATGAAACTAGGCCAGTTTTTCACATTCTTGAACTTGAGATTTTGACTTAATATTTCATATTTTAAATATGTCCCTAATTTAACTTTAATACAAACTTGTATGATTGTGCTCTTGTTTATAACTAGATACTATTTGAATTTCTTTCTACACAAGCTTATTGGGTTATTTTATTTTATTATTTGAAATGGAGTTACTTTTGGATGAACCCATTCTTATTTAGGTTTTATATAAAAATACATATTTAATGCTATAAACCATCCAAACTATCCTGCACTGATAATTCTTGACAAAATAGCTAAATCATCACGGTACGAGTCTTACCTATAGAAAATATACATACATGTCCATCCAATCTAGATTCATCGTTCACAATTCCATCAGATTCGATTGGCTGGAGTACTTTTGAATACTTTCTGAACAACCTACAGTCTTGAAAGAATATATGAGAGCTGTCATTTAACAGTTGGAGATCTTCAAAACCTGATCAACCTGAAGTCTTGAAAAAATATCCAAAGAACTTTTCTAATTGTTTCTAAGTGCTAGCGTCTTTGTTTCGAGGATTTTTTAAATTATCGTGGTGTTTAGTACCGTTAAATTGTAGAAAAACAATGGCAGGTAGTGTTCTCGAGTGTTGTGCAGTTTTCTCCGTTGTCAAACTCCCTAGTTGGAAAAAATAGGATAGCTTACCGTAGAACCGAAGACAACCAATCAAGAAGACTGGCAACTCTTCCATTTTCTCATACGAACGCTGTGAGACAGGTACAATCGCGTCATCTGCCGCTCAAAGGTAAATGCTTCGAACGAATTTGATAGCAAAGGTTACATCCTCAGACGAAGGGTTTGTGTATTTGCTCATTTTTCTATGCGTTGCTTCCACCTTCACTCAAGCGCAGCGCTACTGTATCTGTCGCTTGAATTTTGGCAAAGTTGCCAGTCTTCTTGATTTGTTGTCTTCGGTAGAACGCAACAATCCACCCCACCGAAAATTGCAAAACCCGCCACCAGATGGACGAACAACTGCCTGTTGGGAGGCCATGAGGGGTGGCGATAGAGATGGTCATTTTTAATGGAGGATAACGGACACGACAAACTGGCGATGAAAGACGAATGGCCGGGGTCACTGGCCGACAGCCTGGAGCAGTGACCCAATGACTCACTCATTTTTCAAATTAATATTCACTGATCGTAAAACCACCAGCGAAAACGGTTGATCAAGCAAGCAAGCTAGCTAAATTTAATTGGAATAGCGAACCAACGTGAAAACATAATCTAATAGTGGAAACTGTTAAAAGTGTGAGGAGAGAGTCAAGGTCAGCAGGTAAAAGACAATAATTACCATTTTGGTTAAAATGGTCCTAATATCAAATGTATTTTTTTTTTTTTTTTTTTTTTTTATTTATTATAGTCACTTTAACACTCTTGGGTCATTCGTGACTTGTCCGGGGGTGAGATTTGAACTCGTGACTCCGGCGTGAGAGGTATGGAT